GTATTACTGTGTGAATCAGACATATCCTCACACACATGTTAATTTGAGTATTACTGTGTGAGTCAGCACAGATTGGATCTTGTATAACAGGCCTGCTTTGTTCACTTAATGCTTTGGGCTGTGCATACAAGTACTGAGTGTGTGTGCAGCTCAGGACAAGAACTCTTACTGTGCTCTGTGAAGAGCATTTCCCATGTTGAACAGATTATGTTTTAAACAGATATTACTAACACAGATGGTAAGAGATACTGTCATTACTCTTAAAGGCAGAAATTCCAGGGCTCATTGGCTACTTGTTTTCAATTTTGCCTTCTTTGTTTCTGTTTATTTTCTTTCTTTCTTCCTTTCTTCCTTCCTTCCTTTCTTTCTTTCTTTCTTTCTTTCTTTCTTTCTTTCTTTCTTTCTTTCCTTTTTTGAGACAGGGTTTCTCTGCGTAGCCCTGACTGTCATGGAACTCACTCTGTAGTCCAGAATGGCCTGGAACTCAGAGATGTGGCACCTGCCTCTGCGCTGCTGAAATTAAAGGGGAGTTCCACCACCACCTGGCTCTTTCTTCAGTTTTAATTGAGATAGATTTTTTCAATTAGAAAGAACATATTATTTTTAAAAATATTGATTTGTACATGCTCAAGTGAGTGTGAAGGTCAGAGCACAACTTAAAGAAGTCTTCTTCTCTCCTTACACCACATGGGTTCTAGGGATTCCACTCAGGTCCTCGGGCTTGATGAGGCGCACCTTTGCCTGCTGAACCATTTCACTGACCCTATGTGAGATTTTCTGTCTGATTTATTTATTTATTTATTTATTTATTTATTTATTCATTCATTCATTTATTTTGAGACAGGGTTTCTCTGTGTAGCCTTGGCTGTTCTGAAACTAGCCCTTGTAGACCATGCTGGACTTGAACTCGCAGAGATCCTCCTGCCTCTATCTCCCTAGTGCTGGAATCAAATGTGTGCACCACCATGCCTGGGTACAATATATTCTTAATGGCCTTAAAATGGACCCTGTGAACTGAGGAGTTCAGTTACAAATGGTACCTGGAATAGGTAAATTAAGGCCCCTGAATCCTTAGAGTTACAAGACAGTAGCATCCAGAAGGCTTGGGGGTAGTTATGAAGGTCTCATCTTTCACAGATGAAGAAACTAGGCGTGGCTATGGTAACACAGCAGACAGTGGTAGAATTGGAGCTAACTTCTAGCTCATACTTGAGGCTCTCTGAGGCTGTTGGCTCAATGCCTTTGTGCAAGTCCAAGATGTATTATTATTAGTAAAGTACTTCAGTAATAAAAAGTCAGTCATAATTGAATTTCTTTGCTATGAAAACTATCAAATAGCCCTGGAACACCTTTTACCCCTTGTTTAAATCAGATTCATTTTAATGATAAATTATTTAAAAGCAACTTTTTAAAAAATAAGATCCTAAGTGCTATTAAAAATTGATTAGAAATGCATTATTCTCTCATTGACCCAGTTTAGATTGTTTTTTAAGTTTGTTTTTGGTCAAAGCTAATAAATTTGAGTAGATGTCTCAGATAGATGGGTTGTAATCATTGGATCACCAGTCACTTAATCACAACTTCATAAATATTGATTTCATATTAAAGTTAGTTTCCATTCCTGAAAGACCATTTTTTGTTTGTTTTAAATTTATATACCCCACCTAGATTGTGGTTAAAGCTAAGAAAAATCATAAAAATTATACTGAAAATTAATCAGAGGTGCTGGGCCAGTGTTTGGGTGTCATATAAGAGGTATTCTCCTCT